AAGCTTTCAATCAAATCGCTGTAACTTTTGTAAAAGCAAATATTTTCGAAGTCTTAATCGCACTTTTTATTTATTTTTGCTTATTATAGTCAGAATATATATGTGTAAATCCCATGCGCAAAAAAATTCTTTTTTTGTTGACCGGTCGACCATTTTTTTAAAATTTATCGATTGACTATCTATTAATCGATAATTATCGATAAGTTATCGATTAACCATTGAGAACAAATTTCAAACGTCAGAATTTAAAAGAAAAGAGGTTAACGACCTTTTTATTTTGTATCAAAATTGCCAGGTGTGACGTGTGATCCTAGATCAAGGGTCGGCAACCTGCGGCTCTTTTGATACCTATAAAGTTGCGGCTCTCCGTATTTATCTAAAGAAATTAGTTCATTTGTTCGAAATTCGCCTTTTTAATTAATCTTAATTTGTATCAAAAGTATACTTGCAGCAAATAATTTTCTAATTTTTGACACTTGTTTACTTTCTGGTATTCTTTTGTTTTTTTTATTATAGCCAGCCTACTCCGATGTATAAACACGTAATTAATTAATGAGTAGGTACTTTTGTGAAAAATATTGAATAACCTAAACACTGCGGAGTTTAAGCACAGGGCACCCCTTATAAACATTTAAGAGAAGACAAAAGCGAATAGCGAAATAAAATAGTGGTAGTTCCATTTAAAAAAGAATAGTTATAGCACTTTGAACAAACGGCATTGAAACAACCAAATATTCAGGATGTTCTATTTAAAAAGATCAGTTATTAATTGACATCGTAAAAATGGAACACCCTGTACATTCAAAAATAATTTCTGTAGATCCGCAACCACCACTATTTTTACCAGGTATCTATCAGCTATGTAGGAAAAACCGACGGACTGTTGCAGGACCCTGTATATAGCCAAAAACTATAATATTGAATCAAAAATTATTTGTGGCTCTTTAAGAATTGGGAAATTTTGTAAATTGTAATTTTTAGCTCTTCCGTTTCAATAGGTTGCCGACCCCTGTCCTAGGTAGTTTAACCGGTGGCAAAGGTTTAACCGACACACACAAAAATTAAGAATAGATAGGTAGGTACATTTAATTTCTGTTACAGTGATCAAGGATGCCTGCGTATTTTTTGCTTTCCTGTTCAAATGTAATTCAATCTTCCTTAAGGAATGTTAAGTAGGTCACGATTCATGAAAGGAAGAATGTTTATCTTACGTCATTCAACATCCTGTGTGCCACATAAATGCCTTATAAGTACGTTTCTTGGGTATCTAGAATTCTGTATACAACAATTACAAATCGAGATAGTGGGTTCATTACAGATTCCTGTATAATAATTAACAAAGGTAAAAAACTGACATTATTATTCATCTTTCTCGATGGTAGAGACATCTACGTCTTGTAATTTAAACTATTGAAAACAGTCACATATCCTGCCATTTAACCTGCGCTTCTGATAGTTATAAATTCAATGGTTATAGGCCCAGCCCAATCTTCTATGGTGATGGCGGTGGCTTGGAGGTAATCTCGCGCAAATTTTTCGTTTTATAGTGTTTTATGGAAGTTTTTATAAATATTGCAGTTTCCCCGTGGGCCGATCCATCTGGGTGTTGGGTCTTATATATAGAGTATCTAGCCATGCGTAGGTAGCTTTTTAGCGCATTTTTGCAAAAAAATTTTTTTGTAAAAAGTAGCTTTTAATCTCACTTGGCTGGCTGGCTGGCTGGCTGGTCTGGCTGGCTGGCTGGCTGGCAGTAAATGCGCGCCCGTAGAAAAACGCTTGTAAAAAGACAAGGAGTGTACATGTAACTATCGGGGCCGTGTAATTAAGAACGTTAGGGATGGGGCTACCAGATTTGGAGTCGACGACATCTGGACGCCATCCCCGAGCGTATTATACTAACCTGGAGATTTTTCAGTTTTTATCTATCTTCTTCTACAGTTTTTCTCCGATTGTTTTCAAATTGGTGTCGTCGGGAAGATCTTGTCAACGCGCACAACTCCTGCGTGGCGGAATTTTGTTTTTTTTCCTAGGGGCGAAATAAACCACCTTTTGCGCGGCGCGCTTCGAGGGGTAGTCGACTTTGGGCGCCCAAAAGTTTCTTACAGCGCGAATCGCGGTCTCTCTTTCTCGTGTCACTAATAGAAGGTCGAGCTATGTGAAGTACCCAAAAGTTGAATACGATTTTATGCCGGGATTTTAGCGAAATCTACCAAAATGTGAATTACGAATGAACGGGACGTCGGAACTGTGTATCGACAAAGGGAATGTGGTAACCCCCGACGAGATCTTACTGATGGTGGAGTCGAAACTTCAAATCCGAATTGTTACGGGTGATCAGAAGTGGGTGTCGACAAAGGGAATATGGTAACCCCCAAAGGATTTTACTGATGGTGGAGTCAAAACTTCAAACGCGAATTGCGAGTGCACGGTAAGTGAGAAAATGGTACCGACAAAGTGAACGTGGTAGCTTTCGGCAAGATCTTATTGATGGTGGAGTCAATATTGGCTAATAAAACACTGATCTGCCACACAAAAATGCGCTGAAGTCCCTTCGATCTCACACGAGGACTTTGATCATTTTTTTTGTAAAGTGCGTTTCGGAGATAAGCATAATGTCGATGTTTTGTTGTAGTATAAAGTACTTTAGTTCTTGGCTTCTTTGTGCCAAGCCGTTGGCGTTTCATATTGCTATTTTTAGAGAGAAGCCGTTGTTGGGTTTGGCTAACAGAGCTGTGATAATATTGAGCATTGTGTCGATCCTTTCTGATAGTTTGCCTACTAGTTCTTCAAGTTTCGTAATGCGTTCGTTATAGTGAGCGGGTTGAACCATGGGTTGTTGTGCTGCTAGAGGTTGATTAGGGGATAGGTTTTGTGTATTTGCATTGGTCATTTGCATATAGGGCTGAGCATTAAAGTGTGCGATAGTGACTTGCGCTTTCAGTGTCGGATTTGTTAGATGGTTTTGTTGTCCCTTTATAATTTTTTCTCTAAGAGCAGGATATAGCTTCTGTTGTAGTTGCTTTCTTATAATACATCCTTTATAGCTTACGGGGTGGTTACCTTTGCAGTTGCAGCAGACAACATCTTTTCGTTTTTCAGTCCATGTGCAGTTCCCCGTTAGGTGATCGCCTGCACATTTAACACATTTAGGTTGCCTATAGCAGTAGTTTTTTGTGTGACCAAAGGTTTGACATTTTGTACACTGGGGAATATCTCTCTTTTTATATGGTTGTTCGAATCGAACACTTGTGTATTGTAAGTACTGGATATTGTAGACGTCTTTGTTGTTTTCATTTTGTTCTAATTCAATGAAGAATGATGTGGGTATTTTGGTTGTTGTATTTCTTTCGTGCTGTGTTCTTAGTATGTTATTTATTCTTACAATTTTGTGGTTCTTTCCTTGGATTTCTTCTTTAATTTCGTTTATATCTGTAGTTGAGGTTTTTAAGTGGTTTATGCAACCAATATTCTGACAAAGTCGTTTGCTTTTTTGCAGGTTTGCTTACTTCTGGACTTGATCGCAGTCTTTTTTTGTATTCAACTTTATGCCACTCTGGTTCTGTTTGAGCTGGTAATTGTGGGTATTCTTGTAGATAGTGTGATACTTTAGCAGGTTGAAGCATTTGGGGGGTCATATTGAAGTTTGAGTGTTGGGTGACAGCTGTTGCATATCCTGTTTGTTGTACAGGTACCGATTGTTGCGCAAGGTTATTTTTATATCCAATTTGTTGTAGTGGGTATTATGGGGGCAAATTAGCTAGTTGCTGCTGTGGTAACTGTTGTGTATTAATATCATAATACCACAGATTTAAATATACTAAATCTGTGATAATACTGACCTGAAGCGTTTATGAAAGCTGGTTGATACATTTTTTAATCGCTAGACCCGAAGGCCTGCGACCGGCTTTAACTCTTTGATTTCCAAGTGTATAGTGTCTTTATCACTTGCGATAATAGCCATACAGCAACCTGACGGTCGCGTTATCGTTTTCGTTTGCACTTTAACTCACAAAGCACGCAGCACCGTTCCGTACGTCTTTATGCTTAGAAAGTCAAACGCATATGCAATATGGTATCCTAATACCGCATATGCGATATTAGGGCACATTTGGGTGTGCGAAATTAGGACACCTTACCCAAATAAACAGAAATCGCATATGAACGTTTTTTTCTTATCAGATTGGGCACATTCTTTGTGTCCCCATTTGTAGCATTGGCAACATCTTATCCATTTTTCAAAAATTTATTATTTTTTGAAAGGGTTCGTAATATCGCACAGTGCGATATTAGGACACATGACATGAGGTTTGAATGGTAAAAACACCTTTACAAATAGTTGCAGTATAATTTAATGCGATAAAAATTGAAGAGTGGAGCTCCTAAAGGGAGGGTACAACCACATTGTAATATTTCACTTACCAGTTTTGAGTGAAAGTATACGAATTCATGGACGCGGGAAAACCTCTATTATGTGGAACAAAGAGGATACTCTTTGATGCGGAATACAGCGTTGGCAACACTACCGTCATCTATAATTTTGCGGGAGAAGTATACGTTATGTGGCATCTGAGTAGGGATTGCCTACGAAACTAAAACTACAGAAAAATTTCCTTCACCTTACCAGTTTAGGAATTAACCAACGGTGCGATATTGGGAACCTGTGCGATATTAGGACATTTTCCTCTACATGTAAAAGCCACTCTAAAACTCCTGATCCTGCCATCACCACACTTGTGTTGGTCATGGGTCGTCTAACTTAACCAAGAGTTGAAAAAACTGCAATTGTGGTTTTCGTCAATTACGAATTATCGCACTTATCTCCACTAAGCAGCAAAAAATTAACAGCTCGCTTATGTCACAAACTATTCCATGCAAAAAATTTGACCATTGTCGGTAACAATAGAAATGTGTGTATAATGGAGCACACCAATTTTTTTATTAACAGCTATTTCAAGAATAATTTCACATGATAAATAACGATCCACATTACTGCACTCAATCATTCTATGCACATATAGTAGGTACCTACCTTCCTGTTCGAGTACCTGAAGATAGACATGCATAGGAATTATGATATGAAGAAAATATTATTTCTGTTGTGTATAATCGGTAAGATGCGTTTTAGGGAAGCCCAATCAGAACAAGAATTTCCATTTCCCGCCGATTTCAAGTTTGGGGTTACGACATCGGCCTTCCAAATTGAAGGAGGTTGGAATATCAGTGGTAAGTTAGGGTAACGTATTTGGGAAATGACAATCATCAATCGTTTCAGGCAAAGGACAGCACATTTGGGATACGGTAACACACCAAAATCTTACATTCATAAAAGACAAACAAAATGGTGAAAAGGCATGTGATTCCTATCATCTGTGGAAAAAAGACGTAGAATTACTAAATAACTTAGGCGTGCATTTTTATCGTTTTTCATTATCGTGGTCAAGATTATTGCCGACTGGTTTTTCAAATCACATTAATCTTGAAGCCGTTCAGTACTATAACAGCATAATAAACGAATTGCTAAGTTTTGGAATCGAACCTATGGTTACGCTTTATCATGGAGATTTACCTCAACCTTTACAAGACATGGGAGGTTGGCCTAATCCGTCACTAGTTCCTCATTATGAGAACTACGCTAATGTGGCGTTTAGATTGTTTGGTGATCGAGTAAAAACATGGATAACATTTAACGACCCTTATGAGGTATGTGTCTCGGGATATGGAACTGGTAATTACGCTCCTGGTATAGTATCTCCGGGGATTTCCGACTATTTGTGTGGAAAAACGATTTTATTAGCCCATGCCAAAGCTTACAAGTTATACAAGCAACACTACTATAAAAAACAAAAGGGTGAGTTTAATATCATAACCCCTTTATATCTACACATAACTTCCGATAAAAGTTATTAACCACAATGACATCAGCAATTTATATCAGTTTTCGGTCTATAAGGTTATGTAGAAACAAACATACCTATTATATTCGTTTGCGGGTTTGCACAAAAAAAAACATGTACGTGAATAATTTCTAAACAAATTGTAAACAAGTTTTTTATTCGCTATTACATGTTAATACATGAGCAGAAAGAGTGATCAAGTTTATTTAATGCGAAGTAAAATTGTTAGGTGAGATCACCCTTTAGGTATTTTCGCAGATATATATTTAATTGTGCATTATTTATGGGAAATTGTTATTCATTTTCGTAGTAATCAAGAACTATTAATTTTTTGGGGCAATTTCTGGTATGCTGATCCTGTGTAGACGCGAAGTTGCGCATTCACGAAACCGCTAAGATCATGTAGGAAGTGCAAATCGGCGTCCCTCAACTCAACTTCTCCTTGATTCATAATAATCTATAATACGTTTTATCCTTCATGGTACTCTGATGAAAGGTCTCAACGAAAGGAATTAATTTCTACCAACCATAGCCCTCCTCCTCGATCTCTTATCGTCATCGGGTATAATCCCTTATACCTCAGGATTGTCGGAAGAGGGTACTCACAAAGGGCGATTGAGATGTCTGCAAGAAATATATCCATTGGTGATGTTAAAACAAAAGCTATATTTCGGTTAAAAAATGCGCTTTATCTGCACAAGAATTGTGCACAATTTATACCTACTTGTTTTAAATAGATATTTTGTATATTTTCCTCGATAATAGATCGTTTCCCGACTTATCAGCGACCCTGACGTATATTATTATGATTGTATTAATTAGGAGACGCGCCTCTCAAGACTAAACTATGATTTAAAAATTATGTGCTGTTTCGATGATTTATCTTTTGGTAGTTAGTTTGATAGCGCTTTGCCTAGCTAATGAGATCGATCCAGCACAAATCGGCACAAAGGGAGCACTAACCATCGGGTGCAAAGGTTTTGACTAGCGCATTTTTGCAAATTTATTTGTAAAAGGTAGCTTTTAATCTCATTTTGGCCGACTGGCTGGCTGGCAGTAAATGCGGGCTCTTAGAATAATGCTTGTAGATAGAGGAGGCGTGTACTTACATGTACCTACTGGGGCCGTGTAATTAACAACTTTAGGGACGGGGCTACGCCATCCCCTAGGGTGTAATACCAAAGAGTATGGTTACTCTTTGGTAATACTAACCTGTAGATTTTTCAGTTTTTTTCTTCTACAGCTTTGTTCTGATTGTTTTCAAGTTGGTGTCATTTTGTTTTTTTTTTCCTAAGGACGCGTCTTCGAGGGGTACGACTTTGGGCGCCTAAAAGTTTCTTAAGAGCTCTAATCGCGGTCTCTCTTTCTCGTGTCGCCCAGCAATGAACAGTGCCCAAAAAGTAAGGGCTATTTGGTGACGGGTTGTAACGAATTCCAACAAAATGCGAATTGCGGGTGAACGGGATGTAGGAGGTGGATACTGACAAAGGGAATATGGTAACCCCCGACGAGATCTTACTGATGGTAAAGATGGAGTCAAAACTTCAAACCCGAATTGCAGATAAACGGGACGTCAGACAAGATCTTATTAGTACTGCCATTGAATTTATAAATTCAATGGTACTGCCACGGGTGGTCTTGTCTAATCCCTAAAGTACCTGCTCTCTTGATGCCATCTGCGAAAGTGAGGGTAGCCCATGATACTACAAGTTGTTGTAGTATCATGGGGTAGCCGCTGTAGAACTTATAATTTTAATATTAGGGAATCGCCATGCTACCTACATAATTATTTTTCTTTTCACAATTTAACTACGATTGGGTTGATTTTATTGAGTATACCAAATTAAAGCTAATTTTAGCAATCAACTTTAACGCATAAGTACTTGGCGTAATCTGCGAAGAATAAGCATTTTTCGCATTTTAACGGACTTAAACCACAGATTTAAACACTCAAACTAAGTAGATGATTTGCAGATTAACTAGATAATCTTGACTTTAGCGGTTTTCTGTACATAAACGGTAACATATGCACTTACAAAGCCAAGGCAACTGCGCCCTGTGAGCCAGCCCAGCCCCTACACGATAGCCCCTACAAGCCCGTACACAACTACCATTTAGTACTAATTATGTACTTTATAAATATGTAGTTCATATTTCTGTACCTATTGTTGTTAGAAAAATATCGTGTAGGGGCCAGCGGAGCCGTCTTTCCAGCCCCTACATAGGAAAGAGACCGCCCATACTTAAAGTATTGGATGTACCTTTACCTACCAAGAGGGTAGGTTCCATAAATGCATTTTGTAAGTTGCTACCCCTTACCATTTCCTGGAGGGGCTGGAAGTGCCGATTTTCCAGCCCCTACATAGAAAAGAGACTGCCCATACTTAAAGTATTGGTTGTACCTTTACCTACCAAGAGGGTAGGTTCCATAAATGCATTTTGTAAGTTGCTACCCCTTACCATTTCCTGGAGGGGCTGGAAGTGCCGATTTTCCAGCCCCTACATAGAAAAGAGACTGCCCATACTTAAAGTATTGGTTGTACCTTTACCTACCAAGAGGGTAGATTCCATAAATGCATTTTGTAAGTTGCTACCCCTTACCATTTCCTGGAGGGGCTGGAAGTGCCGATTTTCCAGCCCCTACATAGAAAAGAGACTGCCCATACTTAAAGTATTGGTTGTACCTTTTCCTACCAAGAGGGTAGGTTCCATAAATGTATTTACTAGCAAAAATTAACTTCAAGTATAATTATTTTTCAACGTAACCACCATGAAGATTGAGGGGATTTGTCATGCCCATGGATAAGCTTTTCTATACTCTCTGCATAGAATGTTGTCGCCAGTGAGTTAAGGTGGCCAATAATGTCGTTTAGAAGATCTTTGCATTAGTCTCGAACCTCTGCTCTCCCAGCCACTTCTTCAGTTCAAAGAAGAGGTGGGAATCACTTGGCACTAAATTGGGGCTGTACGGCGAATGTTCAAAAAGTTTCCATATCAAAATGGATGAACTTTCTGGGTTACGTGAGCACTGTGAGGACGCACATTGCCATGGATCAAAAATACTCCAGAAGTAAGCATTCCTCTACTTTTGTTTTGGATGGCTCCTAGACTCATTTGTCGTTGAATTTCAACTGAACTATTCCCTTTTGCATGAACAAATCGATTCATACTACGCAATTCATATTTGGCGGGAGAGGCAATTGTACCGGCCATGTTTTATGCCAATAACTCGGCTCACATTGGCGTAATGGAGTTGGCTATGGGGGAGGTTAGAGTAGGATACATGTGCAGCCACCCTCCATCCATAACTATTTCCTACCACGTGTTCGTTTGTTTACGTGCACGATAGGAAGTTGAAAAAAAAACAGCCCTCGTAGTTTCAAATTTATATTACACTCCTTAAGGCCGATTTTACAAAACATCTATTCCCAGAATAACTTTATTGTAGGAATAATTGTCATGGGAACCTAATTCCAATTGGTTGAGACAACGGTAACCGTGGAGACTATTCCTAGATTAGCATTAGGTATAATACTGCGAATAACTGTAATTGTAAAACCGGCCCTTAATCATAAGCTGCTCCAACGTCACTTCGGCCTCCGTAGGCACTTAAATAGGTGGCGGTGGCGAAACTGATATAATTAAGAAGTCCATTGCGCATGCACTACAAATACAAACTGTAATGCTACCTCCACACTCTCGCCGAGGGTACGCGAGACTATGCGAGAGCGAGAGTGTAAGTAGCGCGCTCGTCTCGTCTCGCCCTTCCTTGGCTTTACTCGCATGCTCTCCATTTCTTGTCGGATTTTCTAATCAAAGAAAACGAGGCGCGAGGCGAGCGCATTGGTGTTATTCCGTATTAAAACGTATTGAGCCAGAGAAAACGACGAGAGCTATCGGCGAGAGTGTGGAGGTTCTCGCTGTACCTCGTCTCGCGAAATGTCTCGCCGAGACATTCGTCGAGAGCTCTCGGCGAGAGTGTGGAGGTAGCATAACGGTTTTAAGTTATTACAGCAATTATTATTCTAGTTTTCCGCTTTATTTCGAAAATCAATTTAAGGTAACCAGGGTTTCATAATAGATATAGGACGTTTTTGACAAGTCTTCTAATTAAAGAAAGTCACTAGAAGAACAATCTACAATTTTCCAATTAATCCCTAATTAAATATACATAAAACCAACAGAACAAAGAACTATTTAAATACGTAAGTGGATAGCTTTTTGAAAATTAGACTAGAAACATGCTTAATGATTATTTCAGAACTGTCCATGGGGATTCATTAATCATATTTACCTATCTTAGTATATTGAAGTTAATTAATTTAATTAAACCCAATGTAATATTTGTAAGTTCAAGTTAAAGTAAAAACCAAATTGTAAATTAAACCAATGGCAGGGTTTTAGTTTATTGGATAACATCTTGTCACCGTATCAGGATAGTTCTTACTTAAAAAGCTTGTAGAGTAACACTGAAAAGAAAATCCCAATTTAAATTACCGTTAATAATCCACAGAAGTCCATACGTATATTTGGTTCTTCTAAGCGAAGGATAAAATAGTTCTCCAGGGAATTGTGAGAGGTAGCAGCAAATAAAATATGTTCATGGGTCCTACAATAAATGTTTCGAGTATGAGCCGTCGCTTTCCTATGTGCAGGGCTGGAAAATCGGCACTTCCAGCCCCTCCAGGAAATGGTAAGGGGTAGCAACTTACAAAATGCATTTATGGAACCTACCCTCTTGGTAGGTAAAGGTACAACCAATACTTTAAGTATGGGCAGTCTCTTTTCTATGTAGGGGCTGGAAAATCGGCACTTCCAGCCCCTCCAGGAAATGGTAAGG